TGCGTAAACTAGATCGTATTTTGGGAAATTCTGCTTTTATTACTAGATTTGGGGACGCTTCGGTTTTCTTTGAACCAAGGGGGATCTCCGACCACTCTCCGGGTGACTTCTTTTAAAGTTGGTCGATGTATTCGCCAGCGTGGATTTAAGTTTGATAATTTTGTGACTTCTCATATGGATTTCCTTAAATTTGTGGAGGAGGTGTGGATGAAACCTCAGCGAGGATCATATATGAAGAGAATGCTTCGGAAATTGCAAGCTATGAAAGGGGTTTGTCGTCGACTCCGAAATTCTTATGGGTGTTTGGATAAAAGGGTGGTTCAGTTAAAGTCGGAGCTTGAGGTTGCTCAATTGGCTTGTGATCTAGACCCGTTTAATGATTTGCTAAAAGAGGACATTGCTCACCTCTTGTTAGCATATCAAAAAGGTAGAAATGATCAAGTGGAAATGGCTCGTCAAAAAGCGAAGATCTCTTGGCTCAATGAAGGGGATGGAAATTCAAAATTCTTCTTTCATGCTATGAAAGAGAAGCGCAATAGGAGCCATATTGCTACTATTAGGGATGCTGTTGGTACTGTTTTTGAGCATCAGGAGGTTCCTAAAGCGTTACTTACTCATTCTCAAGGTATTTTGGGTACCTCTAATATGTTGGTTCCTCCGTCTATGGTGGATTGCGTGTTTGGTCACTCCTTATCGTTATCGGATTCTCTACACTTAATCCGTCCGATTTCGGATATGGAAATAATGCTTTGTTTGCTATTGGGAATGATAAGGCTCCTGGCCCTGATGGGTTTTCGTCTAAATTCTTTAAAGCGGCTTGGAGTGTGGTAGGTAGGGATGTTCTCATTGGGATTCATAATTTCTTCTATTCTGGAACTTTGGAATATCAGCTGAACCATACTCTTCTTTGTCTTGTCCCGAAGGTTCCTAATGCTTCTTGTGTTACTGATTATCGGCCCATTGCCTGTTGTAATGTGTTGCTAAAGTGTATCAGTAAAATTATTGTTGAACGGATAAAAGACTCTTTGGATGTTCTTATTAGCAAGGCCCAATCTGCGTTCATTCCTGGACGTCAAATCACTGATAATATCTTAATGGTGCATGAACTAGTTGCTGGTTATCAACGATCTGAAGGGGAACCAAAATGTGCTTTTAAGATTAACATTTGGAAAGCATATGATACAGTTGACTGGCAATTTCTTTTAGAGATGCTAAAGGGAATGAGTTTTCATCCAATTATGATTAACTGGATAAAGACTCTAATCACTTTGCCTTCTTACTCTATATGTGTTAATGGACAGCTGGAGGGTTTTTTTCATGGTAAGCGGGGCATTCGACAAGGAGATCCTTTATCTCCTTACTTGTTTACTGTGGTTATGGAAGGTCTTTCGATGCTTCTTTCAAAGTGTATTGAGGAAGAGGCAAATTTTGCGTATCATCAAGGATGTGCTGATATCAAGCTGACCCATTTATGCTTTGCAGGCGATTTGTTTATTTTTTCTAGGGGGATATTATTTCAGTGGAAGTCATCAAGCGTGGCCTTCATTTGTTTGAAGAACGATCGGGTTTGTCTCGAAGTCTGGAAAAAAGTGAGGTGTTTTTCGGGAATGTGGCGATGGAGGTTCAAACTCTTATTCGTAATAGCTTATCTTTTCGGCCGGGGGTATTTCCTATTCGTTACCTGGGAGTTCCTCTATCTCCAGTTCGTTTGAAGGTACGTGATTTTAATCCCCTTGTGCTAAAGCTTAAATCTTGACTTTTGAACTAGAAGAACAAATTCCTTTCCTACGGAGGAAGACGATAGCTTATACTCTTTGTTCTTCATTCTATGCAAACCTATTGGATGTCGGTATTTCTAGTACCGGCAACCACAATCCATGAAATTGAGCAGCTATTTCGTAATTTTTTATGGAATAAAGCAGAGGGTCAGATGGGTAAATGTCGAGTTGCTTGGGATACGGTTTGCTTGCCTATTCAAAATGGGGGTCTTGGTATGAAAAGACTAGCGATTTGGAATAGGTGCTTACTTTTCAAACATATTTGGGATATTCTGAATCGCAGAAATACCATGTGGGTCTCTTGGATTCAGTCTCATTGTATTCGGGGACGAAATTTTTGGGTTATTAAGAAGAGGAATGAATGGTCGTGGATTCTYYGGARCCTTTTAGACTTAAGATCTCATTGCAGGAGATTTTTTATCTACAATGTGGGAAATGGTTTATCTACGCATGCTTGGGAAGATACATGGAGTGAGTTTGGTCCCCTTATTCAATTACTGTCTTATAGATTCATAAATGGTCATGGATTTCRTAATAACTCCACGGTTTCTGATGTMATGCAAYGCTTTGGCACTAATTGGCCGGTGGATTGGATACAACAATATCCTCAGCTGCAAAGTATTTTGATACCTTCTCCCAGCCAAATGGAGGATACGGTCAGATGGCTTGATGCTAAACTTTCTYGGGGAAATTTTGAGGTCAAAGTGGCWTGGAAAACTGTTCAAGAAGTGAGGCCGATTGTGCATTGGTATAAGCTGGTATGGAATAAAGCATACATACCTAAACATGCTCTTTGCATGTGGATGGCTTGYCAGAAGAAATTACCAACTMAAGATCGCATCAGTCAGTGGAAGCATGAACCGCCAGATTTGAAATGTGTGTTTTGTAAATTAGTGATTGAAACGCACAATCACTTATTTTTCGAATGCAATTACTCAAGTAGTATTTGGGAAGTCATTAAAAAGGAGGTGGGATTAACGAACTGTCCGAATAATTKGGAGGATATTCTTAACAGGGGTTTAGCTCAAAGATGGAAATCTTGGTCTACAGTTCAAAAACTTGGTATATCGGCCACGGTATACCATATCTGGAGGGAAAGAAGAAGGAAGTTTTTTGACAACTTTAATCATATTGGGGACAAAGTTGTAGCGGAGATCAAGATGCAGATTCTTCAACGTATGGCTTGGAAGACAAGAAAGAAGCTGACGCCAACAAATGCTGTGTGATTTCGTGGGTGGAGTGCCTTCTCGGTTTGGGAAATTGTGGGTTTTTTTCGCCTTTTTCTCTTTGGCTTGCGTTATTTTTATGTTTTGGTGTACTTCTCTTTGTCATTTTTGGCTCCTTATGGCTTGGTTTGTGAGTCAAAGTTGCCGTAGTTTTTCTTGCTGATTGCTTTGTAACGGTTCCGCTTTTATTGATTTTATAAAATTGCCTGGGGATCTTTCCCCTTTCAGTAGACTAACTATGACCCATTTAGCGTCATTTTGACCCAATTAGGCTCGTTACTAAGAAATGGGGCCATTAAACCCATCAGGGTCTAATGAGATTGTTTATGACCTAGTTGGTGTCATTTTGACCCAATTGGAATTTTTAACGAGAAATAAGCCCATTATATCCACTACCACCATTTGGATCCACTAAGGACCGTCAAGACTTATTCCGCCTCAATTACTTCCATTAACGTCTGATTATACTACTTTTGAACCATTTAGTACCATTATTGCTCAATTAGACTCGAATAGGAGAAATAAGCCTATGATAACCATTAGGGTCTGAACACACCAAATATGGCCCAATTGGTGTCATTTTGACCCGATTAGACTTCGTATGGAGAATTGAGCCCATTAAACCCATTATGGTCTAAAAAGACTAATTATGACCTAGTTTGAGTCGTGTTGACCCAATTGGACTTCTTGCGGAGAAATAGGCCAATTATATCCACTAACACCAAATGGACCCTCAATCACTCCAATTAATGTCTGATTACACTAATTCTGATGAATTTAGCACCTTATACATACCCATCATGGTCCGATCAAACTAAATATGACCTAATTAGTGTCATTTTGAGCCAATTAGAATTCTTATGGATAAATGGGCCTATTAACCTACTAGGGTCTAATCAGATTAATTATGATCCATTTATTGTCATTTTGATCCAAATGACTCGATTATACTAAATAGGCCCAATAACATGTAATATCTTGCATAACATGTGCTTGCAAGTTGAAACGATTTCTCATGACACCCTATATTGTAATTATCTTGTTGAAAAACATATGATGTTTATTCAGTATGATAATCCATTTCTTTATGTAAATTACTTTCAACATAAATAAACATGTTTAATATGATGTAATAATGTAAAAAGATCGCGTCATCGCTATAGTTAATGTTCATCAAACTGTAGGATACTCTGTAGAGAAAAAATAGAACCTTCCCTGTTGATTATTACCAACAGAAGTCTTACATTCTATCATTCTATATTCAGGCTGTTCAAGATTTTCTCAAGCAAAGGAAAGGAAGTGATGTGCTTGGATTCAATGTTTCTCATTTAGATTTTCAACTTGAGAACATAAAATATCTGGTATTAGACATAAAAAATTGTGATGGAGGCAGCCAACAGTCCTGGAGGTAGTAGATATGGGACTACTTGGGAATTCACTTTGCATGGTTAATGTCCCTGCATAAACACTTAAATCATTCATTTGTGCATACAACCTATTTTATATTAGGGATCATCTGATAGCTCCAAGTATGTAGAATAGCAGTTGAACCCTATTCATTTTTTTTTTCCTATTATAATGTATAGATTTACTATGATTGGTATTTTGAGAATGTTATTGTTGTGTGCAAAAGCTATCTTCTTGTTACTTATACTTTTCATTTTCAAATAGATTATTGGATTGTTTCATTTCATGTTTATATCTTTTTAAAATTTCACATTCCGTTGTATTGGACGGATACACAACTAGTAATATATTTAATATATGGTTCGGAAACAATGTTACCCGGCTCCCATTCTCGATTTTTTACTTTCGAAGATCTCCTTTCACGTTCACATAGCCAATCACGATTTTAGGAGAAATAAGTAAACTCAATCCAGACAGATACACCGGCTTCCAACGGGTCTCATTAACAAAGGAGTAATGAATTTAGATCGGCCTTCCCAAATTACCCCTATAAAACCAAACACATCATCTCTCTTCTTTCTCTTCTTTGTGTGCACTGTCAAAACACCGAATTTAGAGATACAATCAGTCGTCTGCACCACCACCACCTCCGCCATTTTCTTCCGATGCTCCGATGTTCCTTGATGATCGGCAAACACTTGTTTGTAGAACGGGCAGACGCCTCCCGATAGCGTTATGCAATTCCAATATTCTCATTGGCCTCTCCACTGCAATTCGTTAGGGTTCACCCGTTCAATCTTTATTTCTGATAATTCAGAGCCTTTTCAACGGAGCTTCGATCTCCCAGGCAAGAATCAACTCTTTCTCCTTTACTTTAACTTTCATCTTTTATAATCACTATCAGTGTTCGTCATCTGCTTCAACTATGATTCTTGTTTTTTATTCATTCCGTTTCTAATATTTGATTCTTCTGTTAATGGTTCTTTTAACTGACCGTATGGAAATTTTCTGTGATTTTATCTTTCTTTTCCCAAAATTGTCTTAGGATTAGGTTTAGGAGTAGGTTTTCAAACGGAATGGAAACATCTGGTCTTAGTTCAGACGCTCACAGAGGTTCTTTGGCAAGCACCAGTACTAGTGATCATCATTATCATCATTCCAGAAGAAACAATGGAAACAACCATTTCTCCGCTTCAAATTTCTTTCGTTCACCTGTATCTGCATTCTTGGAGTATATGGGCATATTGCAAACGCAGCGTACTAGTCATTCTGAGTCTTCAGACAGTTTGATCAATGATGAGAACACTCAGAATGATTCCCCTGGATCTGGGGATGAGGAAGTATCTATTAGAATCATTGGTAGTGGAGAACAAGGGCAGGACAGGGATGGGGGAGGAGCTTCTTCTTCGACAATTGGACAAATTAGGGAAGGAACAGCTATACAGAATGAGTCATTGCTTCAGTCAATTTCTAGAACGGCTTCTGCAGCGACAATGGATACTCAGGGAGATTCTAGGAGTGATGGTGTCAGTGCTAGTATCAGAGGTGCTATGGATTCTGTGAGTGGGAATGTGGATTCGGAGGCTGCAGAAGGCGTTGGGGTTAACAATAGCCGGGACTCTTCATACCAGAGATATGATATACAGCAGGCTGCCAGATGGGCGGAGCAGGTCCTTCCATTCACTTTGTTGCTGTTGGTGGTCTTCATTCGGCAACACTTGCAAGGTATTTTAATATCAAGGCTTTCATTTGATGAGTGGTGATGATAATCTTGAAGCTTCTTTTCTCAGATTTATGTAGTCCTGGATATATAATATATTAGGACCAGGTGATGTCACCCCTTGCATATTGAATCAAGATGACAAACTTAGTAGACCTATAATGCTATAGCTTCTTACTGAAGTAGAATCTCTTTATTGAAACATCAAAAGTGCTAGTTTAGAAGGGTTTAGGTTTTTGGTCTTTTCCTTATTCAACATTTCTTCACAGTAGTACAGATACTCATACCATGAAAACTAAATAAACTAGCAAAGGCAAACAAGGATCTCTTTATGTAACACTATCCTACGGTTCCTATATTCTTGAAATTTAAAACAATGAAAAGAGATTAAATAAGAATATGAGGTTTGCTTTAGGGCAATGATTGACAAAGGGCGACGGCTATGGAACTACAAGTTTGTGGGATCTAAGATAATATGTGGTTTTGTATTTTGGTTGAGGATTATGAGCGGAGGCTTGGGACTCCTTTCAGCAAGCGCTATGCCCATTCTTCTACTATACACGCATGAGTTATAAGTTTGACTTCAACAAATGCTATGCCGCTCTTCTGTTCTTTCACTATTCTTAATCCTATTAGAGTTATGCTTATCCCCTTCTCGAAACCTATTCATCATGATTTTTCCTTTTGTAGGTTTAAGCCCATACCTATCCTATCTATCACAGTATCACCTGCTTGTTTCTACAGATGTTTTTACCTTTTAATTTTCTGTTTGGCGACATCGTACATGAAATATTTCAATACACAAAATCCCATGGGTTATTTGACTTTCAATATTTGTGGACAGAGTCTTCTCTGTAAATGTCTTCTCCAACCCAAGTATCCCAAAGGATAGAGTGCAGGCTGAATTCCTTCATCATTTGACTTCACCAGTCATCATTGTATGTTGAAGCTACATAATAGTGAGTAAAATGGAATTGATTGAAAACTAAAATGCTTGTCATCAGTTAATTATTAAAAATGACTTCTTACTAAATATTTTTTGTCCTGCTTTGTAACATCAGTTGTAACTTGAGATCTTTGATCTTGCCTTAAGACTCACTTCCATTTCCTCCTTTGACCAGAGATATGGTTTTTCTCACTTTGGTTTCTCTTGCAAGGGATTACAGGTTTTTTTGTCACAATCTGGATTACTGCTTTTATGTTCAAGTCAAATGATATTCTTCGCAGGCAGACAGCTCTGAAGGTGCAAATTTTTCCTAAGTTCTGGGTTCTTTATAATAATTATACAAACAAAGAGCTCTATAAACCATTCCATCTTTTTGGACAAAGATGGGTGTTAAGCTACATTGAATGTTATTTGCAGGGAGAGAGGAAGATATTAGTTCTAGCAAGCATTTCTCTTTTGTTTACACTTCATGTGGCTGGGGTTTACTGGTGGTATCGTAAGGATGATCTCCTGTATCCATTGGTCATGCTCCCTCCAAAAAGTATACCACCTTTCTGGCATGCAATATTCCTAGTAATAGTAAATGGTGAGTTCTTGTCGTCAATTACACGTTGGCTTTTATTTACTGACTGCATAAGCTTGTATGTTGGTTAATGCATAGACTCCTTTTTTGCGCTTACAAACTTACAGACTTCTGCGCATTCTACAATGCCACAATCGGCACATGGTTGATGAAAAGTATTAAGTTTGTAAGCATAAGCTTGCTACATTTATTACTTACTGCATACTTGGCTTCAATTCTTCATCAGAACTATGGTCCATTTATCCGACTTGTTATAAGGAAAATCATAATTAGTGTCTTTGAAAAATGCCCTTAGAATTTTTTTGGTGTTTCAGATACTCTAGCCAGACAAGCAGCAATGGTGCTCAAGTGTTTTCTGTTAATGTACTACAAGAATAGCAGAGGTAGAAATCGCCGAAAGCAGGTGAGATACGATGCATAATTCAGCCCTATTAGTTTAACCTGAAAGCATGGGAAAACAAAGTTGGTTAAATCTTATGTAATAATTCATGCAATGTCATTTTTCCCTAATTGTGACAGGGTCAAATGCTAACTTTAGTTGAGTACCTATTGCTGCTGTATCGTGTGTTGCTGCCTGCTCCAGTATGGTATCGCTTCTTTTTGAACAAAGAATACGGAAGCCTATTTTCATCACTAATGACTGGACTATATCTGACATTCAAGCTCACTTGTGTTGTTGAGAAGGTGCAATTCGTGGACTTCAATGGATTGGAAAAAGAATTCTCATGTTCCCTTTTTCAAAAACATAGATATTAGTCATATGCTAGTTTCTTTGAATGGACTTTGCTTCTTATCTAGTTAGATTTATTCTGCAGGTCCAGTCATTGATTTCAGCTATAAAGGCGTTGTCACGTAGAGAGATTCATTATGGCGCTTATGCAACATCTGAACAGGCAGGCTCCATGTTTTTGTTTTTCATTTTCTTTGTACACAGTTCAGCGCTTAAAACGTAAAACAAGTGAAGAATCCTTAACTTACTATAAATGCAGGTGAATGCACCTGGTGAGCTTTGTGCCATTTGCCAAGAAAAAATGCATTCTCCAGTTGTGCTTCGTTGTAAACATGTCTTCTGTGAAGAATGCGTGTCAGAGTGGTAAGTCTAGTTATAATTTTTGTAATCCTCCTTGAAAAATATGTTGCAATGACGAACATGAGTTTATTATAGGTTTGAAAGGGAAAGGACGTGTCCGTTATGCAGAGCGTTGGTGAGAGCTGCAGATCTGAGATCGTTTGGCGATGGGTCTACCACTTTATATTTTCAGTTGTTCTGAAACACATGATCATCAGCATCAGCATCATCATCATCATCATCATCAGCATCAGCATCAGCATCAGCATCAGCATCAGCATCAGCATCATCTTCAGCATCATCATCATCATCATCATCTGCTTGGTGTTGTATGTAAGGCATTTTACCAGTTTTCAAACTCATTTCATTTCATGTACATGTATGTATGTAACTCACTTATGCATCTATAATGTAATTTGATGCATACATTTTTGGAACACGGTAGTTCTCTTTTTACACGAAATCATTTTTTCTCTTTGTACTTCTAGGGGACTATGATGAAGAACAATTCACAGATTAATAAAAAGATAAGAAGACAGAATAGAAATGGAGTAAGTCGGCTGATTTGATTGAATGCAAAAGCTGATAACAAACAGGGAATCCAGGGAAAACTTCCCTCTCTCAAAGCCTAAGCAAAGAGCCAATTACATTTTAGGAAAAAAATAATAGAATGCCTTCTCTTGCCGACCTCCTCCTTATTTAAGCACCACGCCTCTAACTAACATTCTTAGCCACTTTCCTTTTCTACCCTTTTGGACCTTCTAGAATATGCCTGTAAAATATTTGGTTTATGTGGGCTTTGGTCCATAACAATTGAATCCGTAAGATTACTCCGCCCTTCAATTAAAGTCTTGTCCCCAAGACTTGCATTTGGAAATTGGCCTTTTAATAACCGACGCATCTTCCCATGTTGCCTCGTCCATGGAACGATCCTTCCATTGGATTAACCATTGTAACACCGAATCATTGTGAGACCCCACCATGCGTTCCGCAAGTATAGCAATTGGAAACAACATATCAGCTGTGTTGATCTCTAACTCCGGGGGAAAATTTTGCTCCACTGCATTTGACATTACGGCCTTCTTTAACAAGGAAACATGAAAGACCGGGTGCACTTTCGAAGAAACCGACAACTCCAATTTGTAAGCGACTGGTCCAATTCGGTCCACAATTTTAAACGGCCCAAAAAATCTTGCTGTCAATTTCTGATGTATACGAGGAGCAACTGACATTTGTCGATATGGCTTCAATTTTACATAAACCCATTCGCCCACATGAAAATTCACCTCTCGACGTTTCTTATCCGCTTGATTTTCATTATCGATTGAGCCCGCAACAAATGGACCTTTAGTTGCTTAATAGCTTCATCTCGATCCCGCAACTCACTTCTCCGGGAATAAATTGAATTACAGTAGGAGGTTTCCGCCCATAAAACACCTCGAAAGGAGAGGTACCAGTAGTCCCATGAAAGGAGGAGTTGTACCAGAACTCTGCCCACGGAATTCAGATAGACCACGAACGTGGTTGATCAATTGCGAAACACCGTAAATACGTTTCCAAGCAACGATTAATAACCTCAGTTTGGCCATCCGATTCTGGATGGTAGGCGGAACTCATACGCAACTGAGTACCTTGCAATCGAAAAATTTCTTGCCAAAAGTGACTCAAAAATAATGGATCACGATCGCTAACGATGGACTTCGGAATCCCATGATGACGAACGACTTCACGGACAAAAATCTTATTTATTGACTTTGCAGTATATGGGTGTTTTAAGAGTATGAAATGGCTGTATTTCGAGATTCTATCCACCACTACTAACATTGCATCATAACCTTTAGATTTGGGCAATCCCAAAGTGAAGTCCATCGATGGATGTTCCCAAATCGCATCAGGGATATCTAACGGCTGTAAGAGGCCACCCGGAGAAGTAGAGCTAGCCTTACAACGTTGGCATAAATCACAAGCTTTAACAAACTGTTGGACAGCGGCTATCATTCCGGACTGTTAGGACTGAAATTCAGTGTAAAATTGTATTCGTCTTGAAAGTTAAAATTGTCTATAATTGTATAAAAGTCATCGTGTTTGACTTTTCTAGAGATTGTTTGACTTTGACTTTGTTTACATCTTTGACCCTATATAAAGGGTTATTTCCTTGTAATTTGCTGTAAGAGCTCATATTGTAAAATCAGTTTACGTAAATAAAGTTTGACCAAGATTGTGATATCTTGACTTTCTCTCTCTACTTGTTCTTCATGTTCTTGAATGTTTTATGAAGATTGCCATGGATTCTTAAGAGATTTAACTGAAGATTGATTATAGGGACTCTCAATTGGTATTAGAGCCGGATTATGCACTAAATCAGAAGAGGAAATCATTGTTTTTGAAGATTTTTTTTAAAGAAATTTTCTGAATTTTTTTTGTTCTTCATCGTGTTCTTTTTTTCTTTGGAGTTTGATCTAAATTTTTTTTTTTTTTTTTTGTGTTTTTGTGTTTAAACCGTGATCAATCTGCTCGGAATTGAATTGTGAATCTTTGTTAAACACAATGTTTTGTGATTTGATCATTATTTTTCGAGTTTTTGATAATTTTGTGTTTTGAAATTTTTTCGTGTTCTTGATTTTTTTTAAATATATCTGTGTTTTTGATCCAAATTTTTTTTTTAAATATTTTGTTTTTGTGTTTTTGGGTCTAAGTCGTTCAGTCCATCGGCCCAACAAGACTAAATCGCTCGGTCCATCCATTTTATAAATCGCATGTTTAACAGATTTCATCAAGATCAGACTAAATCGGATTTCTAAATCGTACATCACTCGATTCAATTTGTTGCTAAATCACTCAAAGCTTCACCTAAATCGCTGGTTTCATTGACCGATTTATTCTAAATTGCAGGTTTTTCATATACATTGCTTCTTGTTTTACCTGATTTAGATCTTGTTTTTGTTGAAACAAGTTGTCCAGATATACAGTGACCGATTTAGGATTTAATCAAATCACTTGTCGGTGACCGATTTACCATAAATCGTTTGATTCAACACTAGTTTTAATCGCTTGGTATCTTTTGTCATAACAGTAGTTTGAGCGGATTAGGCAACTTGGCTTGTGTTTGGACTTCATTAAATCGCCTGGCAAATCGCACAAAGCTTGATCGGAGTTCTCTTGGTTGGTGACTGGACAATAGCTAAATCGCTTGGATCATCGTTCAAAGCCTAACCGGACATAAGTAAATCGCTTGGATTATTGTTTGAGGCTTAACCGGATTCTTGGTAAATCGTTAACCGGAGATAATTAAATCGCTTGGTTTATCTTTGATTTGGTGACCGGATTCGGCATTTATCGCCTGGATTCAGTGAGGTTTTGCCAAATCGCTTGATACAAGAACTGTTTAAAGGTTTGAAGGTGTGAAGGGTTTTGTCCGGACTTGGTGCATTTGATTCATCCGGATTTGGTGCAACTGTTTTTCTAAGGGTAAATCGCACAATAGCTTATCCAATTTAAGGTTTACTGTTCAAGACCAAGTTCATCGCTCGCTTCATCCAGAGGTTAACAGTTTCTGGCCATGGTCATCTGAGTGCTTATGAATCCATATCTCATATTAAAGATAGTTTTGCATCAGAAAGTTATATATCTAATGCCAAACAGAAGGGCAATGAGCCTGGCTGCCTAGAAGTTGATTCTGGTTCTATTTTACCAAAACAGCAGCTCATCTTCATTGTTCAAGATAGTCTTCATCTTCATCTTAGGCGGATTTCATTTGTGGCCAGATTTGATCAATTTGTAGATATTCATAACAGTGCTGCATATTTTGCTATTAGTCAACAGTCACTGTTCCTTTGATTTAGCAATTATCTTCGTTTCGATTTCATTTGATCATACTCTCACGCCTGCAGCATTGAATGAAACACCATTCGGGTGCTGATTCTGCATTGACTGGTGCTGTGACTCATTGAACCTGCTCTTTTAGACATCTTTGTAGGGTTTGGGCCATGGGAGTGACAGCAACAGTCAAGTCCATAAAAGATTCGATCACAGTAGTTGTGTAGATTTGGAGGGTCTATAACAGCAGGAAGCTTATACATATGTGTGGATGGTTGACAAGCTGTGATTGCCCAATCTTCAATTTGGGTTTATCAAATTGCTCTGCATAAATCCATCTTTTAATCAACTGCCTACTGAATAAGGATGGAGTTTTAAGCACATGGAAAGAAGACTTATCAGGTTCTTATACAATGCAGAAGTGATCACAGAACAATCTTGTCAAAGTTTATGGTTTGTGTATCCATTGTGATCATTTTATGTCTAAAAAGTCTGGTGAAAGCTGGACCTTTAAGTAACCAAGTTCAGAATGTTGTGAGTTTTGGTTGTAAAGAGGTTGCATTTGAACATTTTTGGGCTGTTTGCATTCTAGTGATTTGAAACAACTGATAAATTGATGCCATTATGTTTGATTGTGTTTGATTTTAGTCTAAATCATAAACCTTGCCAACAGGATTGGAGACGTTGCTGATTTGAAGTTATTTGTTTGTTAGAACCTGTTTAAGATACTTGAGCCTAAACAAGAACAAGTTCCTCTGAAATGGGTTTCAGGTGCAAATGGTCATGCTTTTAGGATAACATTTTGATTAATGTGTTTGTTTTGAGATTCTATGCTTGTTGCTGCTCCTTGTTAACGAAGTTGGCTTGAAGTGACTTCAACAAGAGTACCATCAATTGAAAAGGAATTCATTTTCTAAGTTGTAGACTTAGAAAATTTGTCCGGACTTGGTCTCACTCGAGTTTATTCTTAATCACTCAAGGTCTTAGCCGCCCACTTTGTTTTTAATTTTTTTTGGCCCAAAAGCATTTTATTTTTTTGTGTTGTAATTTTGAATGTGTTTTTATATGTTTTGTTCTGTGTTTAAATTGTTTAAGAATCTTTGAACTATTTTCCGTCGCATAAACTGTTTCTTATCAGTTTTAACTGTTTTTGACTGTTTTTAACAGTTTTGACTGTTTTTACTGATTTTTGACAGTTTTTCGTCGTTTTTATAATATCTCATCAGTTTTTGTGTTTTCTATTTGTGTTTTTGAGCTTAATTGATTTTGATTTTTTTTTTATCTGATTTCACAGCATTTGATCATTAATCAATCTTGATTTTAAAAAAAATGGCAATTTCATTGGACAGAGAGAATAAAGAATTGAGAGAGAGAATTGCTGAATTGGAAAGAAGAGTAGAGGGCTACAAAGAAAAACACATTAATATGTTTGATGAGAATTTCGCATATAAATTTTTTATCAAGAATCTGCAAGGAGAAAATAAAATCTTAAGAAAAAATTCTGTAAAGGTTTTATCAGTTAAGACTTGCGAATTTGAGAGAACTTTGAACATTGTTAGGAAAGAATGTGAAGAAGAATTGAAGACTTAGAGTGATGCTAATAAGAAATTATTCAACAAACTTCAAGATCTGCAAAATGTAAGGAATTCTTCTGAGAAAGTTAATCTAGAGACTGAGAACTTAACTGGAAAACTTCATAAATCTGAGAGTGATTTGTGTGAGTTAAGGAATGAATTTGAAAAGGAAAAGAAAAGATTTTCCGAAATAGAGAAAAAGTTGATGTTGAACGCTTATCTTATGAGAATAAGATAAACTCTCTCGAGCTGAACGCAAAAATGCTGTTAAAGCAAATATCAGATTTTGAGCAACTGATCATCTTGAAACGTGCCAAGAATGATAAAGAGAAGAAAGACATCACAGAAGAGTGTCAGAGCCAAACACAGAAATTATTTGACAGCATTGCTCTCAAGCAGAAGGCTTTAGATGAAGAGAAGAACCAATTTGTTCTTGAGAAGAGAAATACTATAAAGAAACATACGACTATTGCTAAAGAGCTTGCTGAAAAGAAAAAGTGGCTTGACATCGCTTTTGAGAATGAGAAAAACAGCTCAGATGAAGAGAGAAGAGAGTTTATAAATCAGAATAAGAAGTTTGAAACGCTCAAGAAGGAGTTAGAAGGTAAACTCCTGGATACTACAAAGAAATTGTCTGATCTGAAGACAAACCTTGAAACTAAATTGAAGATGAGAACATAACTCAAAAATAAGTATGATTTAGTTACTATGGAAAGAGACCAACTTTTTACAGAAAGTCAAAGACTTTTCTTGTGCTCAAAGCTCAATTGGTTCTCCTTCTCAGTGTAAAACCAGCTTCTATGACTGTTCCAAATCGAACAATTATTCAAGCAGCCCTAAAT